AAGATAGCACTATTAAGGACTACAATTGTAACATCAGATGTTAGAAAGTTAAAAGCTTTAGAAACCAGGTTGGATGCCGCAGTCTACTATGTTTCAAAAATGTCAACGAAAAACAAAGAAGAAACTTCTCAAGATGCCATTTCAGTGTTTTCTGAAGTAGGAATAGAGACTAGTCTCATACCAGTTTGGCTATGACAGCACAGAGTATGCCTATCAGAACAGTAATTAATAAAGTTTCTCCCACATCTTCCACTTTAGGTTGTGAAAGCCTTTGCAGAAATCCCCTGTGCAGTCACCTGAAATGTAAAAAGTGGCAGACTACTGAAAGCCATCATCATCATCTATCCCAACAGGCATCTAAAGTGCTCAAGCCAGAGCACAGACTCTTTTCTTTTGGTAGAGGAAATCCAGCTAATGAAGTACTCTTTTTTCCCCATGAGAAAGATGTCTTTTAATTAGAGTATCATCTGAAACCGAGAGTACAAGCAGTCACTTCTAGAACATCATGTAAAGGATGCAGTCTGTATCTCTACTCAAACTGTCTGACGTTTCTCTCCCCCAGTCCCCTCCCCTCTGCTTTGCCAATGCTTCAGTATCAGTGCCCATCTGTCAGACAGATTCCCAGAGAAAAGTCTCACAAGGTGACAAATCTGGTTTATCAGACACTGCTGCTGAAAAGGGTCAACCCAGTCCATTGCCTGTGTGATGCTGTGGAAAACCAGTTCAACTCACTAAGCCAGCAGAAATCTAAATCACTCATTTTTTTACAGTCTTCTAGGTTACTGCTATGAATCAGCTCATTAAAAGATGTCTCCAAAACACGTGGAATTTAGGGGCAAAAGCACCTTTTTTTGCAGCAGCAACTATTATAACAGCTGAAGCACCCTCTGAAAATTGCAGTCATGTATCAACTTTCTTCCATACATACAGCTTTGTACATACAGTATGGCTTCCCCAATCTCAGCCCCTAAGCTTCACTCTGTAAACTCAATCTTCACAGTAAGACTTCTGTTTTGTTACCTGTATTGATTCAAGTGAATCAACTGTACATAAATTGTATATGTTGACTACAACTTTTCTTTCTTTAGATAAAACAGGGAGCAAATGTTTACTGATAGTTAACTTTATAAAATGCCCCAGAATGGAACAGGTCCTCTTAAATTGGAAGTCTCCTACAAAACTGATAAGTATTATTACCAAAAATTAGTTTAAGGACAACATTTTTCACCACATCAACAAATTCTGATCTTTAAATGATTCTTCATGTCATAATAGGTAAACAATCAATGAGTAATAAATGAACAATCAAAGAGTCCACTGGGAAACAGTAAAGCATCACAAAGAAGACACTTCGGTTAATTTTACCATGAAAGATAAACAGTTGATAATTAGAACTCTGCTAGAGGGCAAGAAGGTTCATGAAAAATTGGGCTAAAATGCAACAAACCAGGAATGCTAACAGCTGGGTATAAACTAAATAAGTAGCTCAGGCCTTAAAGCAATTTTTAAAAGTAAATTACACAAAAAGTATGTAGATATAGATGAACATATACTAAAGAGGACAATCGTGCAAATTTAACTGAAAACAGGTAAATTCAGGCATCAGATGGATGGGTTTAATATACGTGAACATCTTATTCACACAGAATTCAATCAATTCAAAGAATAACAACAAGATTTGGGACACCGGGTTAGAGGTACAAGACAAGCAGTTTACAGTTCAAAGCAAGAAATTCAAGTATGTTTGAATATTACTCTGACTGCATTATGAGTGGGTACCTGTACTTTCAATATATTCCTGTTAAGACCTTTCTTACTTCCCGACTGCCTGGCCAGCAGGGCTCTGGAGCACAGAAGTCATTCTCTGTAGGCTAGAACAAGCCACATGACAGTCTTAGCAACCAAAAAGAGCAATTACAAGGGATTCTTGCTGTATACCTGTGGTGAGAATCAGCATGTTCAATGCCATTGTGTAGTTAAGCAGTTAATCCCTAAAAAGTCACTGCTCAGCAGGTACAAAATGAGATTTACAGAAATTTATATTTGGGTAATGTTTTAGCAGACCTTCACAAGTATTTTCACAGAGGATTGACAACTGGTGAATCAAAACTCTCCAGCAAAGTAGAGGCACTCTACAAAATGCTTGCAGATTTTTTTTATAGATACAAACAAAAAGAACAGATTTCCCTCTTGACCTTGACTGAGGAGAAACAATTGTTTGTTCTACAGCTCCCCTCACTCCTCCCCTTGAAAAAAAAAAGAACCTAAAATAAAAAAGCTAGAGATGGAATTTTCTGTATAAGTACCTTACAGTTCAATAAAGTTACAACTAAGTGTTTAACAATAAAAAAAAAATAAATCAGCTTAAACTAAACTGTTGTTACCACATAATAGGAAACCCATTCATAACATACAAGAAGCCAAATAAGAGAAATGCAAAAAAACACTCCTCTCCAAATTTGTCTTACCGATATTAAAGCACTGGGTGGCGGGAGGGGAAGGGGGGTGTTTCAAGTCAGCCAGCCTCTGGTGTGCAGATCAGCGGTTACTCTATCCTGTGGCATGCAAAAAATGAAACTCTGGGATATAGCCCCATCAGGGTTGACAGTGACCGGCCTGCAACTCCTTGGTCTTCTTTATCTCCCTTTCTTAAATTGAGAGTTATACTTCCTCTTTTTCAGTCAATGGGAACTTCCCCAGACTGCCACAACTTCTCAAGAATGATGGATAGTGACTTAGCCACTACCTCCACCTCAGGACCCACAGATGTATCTCATCAGGTTCCATGGATTTTGGGCACATTCAGGTTCCTTAGATGGTTTCAAACATGATCTATTTTGTTACTCAAAACTCTTTGTCTCTTTTCAAAATCTGGCCTAAAACCAACTGTAGATGAAGTCTCTGCTGTACTTTTAACTCAGAAGCTCAGCACATAGGTGAGACCCCCCAAGATTAGTTTTGTAGAGGCCAAATCATAGAATCATTAAGTTTGGAAAAGACCTCCTGGATCATCAAGTCCAGCATTGACTGAACACCACTATGTCAAATAAACCATAGCACTAATTTCCATGTCCAGTGATTTCTTGAACACTTCCAGGGATGGTGACTCCACCACCCTCCCTGAGCAGCTCGTTCCAATGCTTAGCCACGCTTCCTGATGTCCAACCTGAACCTCTCCTGGTGCAGCTTGAGGCCACTTCCTCTTGTCCTATTACTAATGCCTGGGAGAAGAGGCCAACCTCCACCTGGCTACAACCTCCTTTGAAGTAGTTGTAGAGAGTCATGAGGTCTCCTCTGAACCTCCTTTTCTCCAGGTTAAACACCCCCAGCTCCCTCAGCTGCTCCTCATGATTCGCTCTTTAAGTCATATGTCCAGGCACAGCGTGAACACAAGTTCCAGATTTCTGCATTTTGCAGAGCACCACTAGAGGGTTCACAGTTCCTCACTTTCAGATGTCACAAGGCTTTTTAATCAGCTATACCTGCCTTTCAAGAGAGCTGTTGAGAGGGAACTAGAGAAATTCAGCATTGCAATTAGCCTGTCCTCGCTGCTCAATGGGCGGCCTCCTGCAACAGCAGGATCTAAGACTGTTTTCCAACTCCATCTGTAGCCATTAGGACTAGCTCCTACTTTAAACCTCCAAACCTAGGTCAAAGGCTTTCCTCTGCAAATGGGCATCAGCACCGTCTCAAAATTCAGGCTTTAAGAGACCAGGAAGGCTGTTTCTCTAAAAAGAAGATATATTTTTTATCCACTACCTTCTTCCAGAACTTTGCTGTTCTTCACCATAATGCTTCAACACGGAGACTATTTTATTCATGATATGTGCATACCAAAAAGGCCACACATGTAATTCATCAGCCTTTTATTAACATATTAAAGATTTTAAAACTTCTGGAGTATCACTGTACTGAGTGCTTCTAAGACAACAAAACAAGCGAATAAAATACAGAATAGCTTTCCGAAAGAGAAGATAAGGATAAGGTGCTTTCTTGTGAATACATTTTTAAGACAAGAGGGTTTTATTTTAAAACAAAAAGTACTGCAGCTCAATAGTTTGCCTGGTGACATATTTGTTGGGATTTTTTTTAAGTCAAAGCACACACTTATCAAGCCTTCCTGAAAGAAGGAGCAAAAAAGTTTCAATATAAAACAGTTTTAGGAGTATCTCCCTAAACATTTATCCTCTGGTATAAAATATATGGTATTATATGTTTTCATTAAAAAATTATATTTTTTCAAAAGGGTAGCAAAAGGTATAATACAATCTAACTACTACTTTCAATGAAAATCATACTGCGTCTGAAGTAGAACAAAAAGAAGTAACAGAGACAGATGTTCAGTTTATACATATTAATGTAAAGTATCCTGTTACGCTAATGAACCTATTTTAAAATTCTTTTCTCTATACCTATGGAATTTCAAAACAAGCTCTAGCATATCATAATAACTTCCAGTTCTTTCATCTTCCACTAATGTATTTTAAGAACATTAAAGAAGATTCTTGGACACATATCAAGGTAAAAAAAAATTAACTTGCATGCCTACTTCTCTTTCCTGAAAGAGATACAGAATAAAATTCTTAACCTCTTGTGGTCATAGAGCCAGTTGAGCTACATATAATGGAATAAGTAACAGAGATCTCTTCTACTTTTCATGTTGTCTTTGGCAGTTGCAGCTAGATTTTAGTGCTTCTTTAGACTTCAGTTATTCCTGTGTCTTTTTATTTTCATTTTGTGCTCTAGTATCTATCATGTGGAAGAAAAAAAAAATTAGGATACCTTTCCCTCCCCATTAATGAAAGAAAATAAGGTAGCTTTCCAACTAATACTGCACTGCTAATATTACTTCAATGAGAACCCCATGATCAAGGATCATACATAATTATAAAATCATCAATGAACTATATAAATATCAGATGTCCATGAAAAACTGGTAACTAGCATACAGTGACTGAAATATATATAAAATGTTACACTTTCAAAGAACAGGTATTTACCTTTATTGCAAGATGTGACACTGAAGATGACACTTCATCATGAAGAAACTGGTCTTTATTCTCAAAAAATGATAAAGATAAAAAAGGCCAATAGTCAGTTTTGGTTTGACAATCAGCACTGACACATTTTAGACTACTCATAAATGCTTTTATTTTATTCAGGCCATCATAAAATTGACAAAATATGATCACAATGCAAAATTAAGTGAACACCACTAATAAAATAAGACATGTGAACAAAGTTACTTATAATGATGAAAAATATTGAACCAGATGTAAAAAACCAGATCAAACTCTTAAAAAACCAAAAACCCCATATCTCAAAGAGAGATCGAGAACACCCTTCTATCATAACAAATTTAGCACAATTAAAAATAAAAATTTATTTTGATCTTAATGATTGTTTCTCTGTTTTTTGGATCACCACTGATTTTCTAAATATCATACTAGGTGATGGTCTCTGCAGTGTCTGTGGCCTGGAGGAAGAGGAATGTCCCAAGACTATTTCCTCCTTCACATTAAAACATTCTACATTTCTTTGACTCAAGGACAGACTTTTTCTCGCATTCCCCTCCATTTGTAACTGTCGATTTCAGAAGAAAATTAGAGTGCTAAAAATGCTTGTGAAGGTTATTCAGCAGGGAAGCATTTCTGTCCATCTCTGAATTAAACTCCTGTCAGGCCATCCTGCTACTATCAATGCTCTCTTCAAGACAAGGCAAGTAAGATCATTGTTGGGAGTACTTTAGAGGCCAAATATATAGGAAGTGGGATATAGAATTCAGGAAATATGCAATTTTCATTTTCTTCACTCTGTGTTTTAATGAGAAATTTATTACATTTTTTTTTTCTCTACATATGACTCCAAATACAAACAGTCACAAGTACAAAAACAGAACAGCTGTGTATAACTGTAAATATTTAACTCCGGTTTCAAAAAAACCCTCAGAATTAAACCAGAACACATCTTTTATGGAAAGTGTCTTCAAAGTGGCAGTTTCACATAACCTCCAGTGTTCACTTTGGTCCATATTTTGCTTACATCAGACACTCACTGTTTCAAAAATCAAAGTTATCACTCCTTTCTTTTCAACTAAAGTAAATGCTAAGGAGTTGATATGCTCTTTGCTCTATAAGCTTAATTTTTGTTTTTGGTAACTCCACACACACATATCCCAAGACACCCAAAACACTCAGTATCCCAGCTTCTATACTTACCAAAGACCTCCTTCACTTTGCTAACAGCATCAGAAAGAGGTGAGAAAGCCAGCATAAAAGTGCTATGTATTTCTAGTCATGTGGGGGCCCAGATGTATCAGCTTCATTTTGAGAGACCAGCTTCAAATCCCAGGCATTTTTATTTATTTATTTATTTGCATACTACTGTTTCTATTTACTTTAAGGGCAATACTTTATATTATACAAGGGACAAGGATGGAGCATTTCCAGAATTGAGTATGAAGACCATAACACTATAGTTCAATAGTAATTGTGTGCTGGAATAGAGCAAGTTGTAGATAGCCAACTTTAGTTGTTGGGGCAGAATACAAAGTCAGGAACTCGTATTATCATTCAAAATGAGAATATTACTTCCTGTGGATCTCAACAAGTTATTTAACTTCCAGGTTTCAGTTGGCTGTCTAACACAGGAGGACATTATTGCAGATGGGATACCAAAAAATTACAAAGTTAAGATTTGTCTAGTACTCTCAAATTAAATTTAATTACTTCCCCCACTTTGGGGTTTTTCTTTTCCCTCCTTTAAAGAAAAACATTAGCAATATTTTAAATGGAAATGCCTCACACATACCATTTCAGAAGTCTACCTGTTTCCTCTCAGCACTCCCAGCTCTCAAGCTTTCAGATGAGGTCTTAGACTTAACATGATGGCATCTCTCCTTAGACATGGTACAAGCTAGAGAATATCTCAGCTGATTTGTCCAAATTTTTCCCAAGAAGAAAAAAAAATTAACAAGAACTAGGAAAGCCCCAAGGGGAAATACAGTAAGAGAAAAAATTATTTCAGACATCCAGAGCTGGCAGAGCTACCAGTTTCAACAACCAACAATACCGTCTCCAGAACTAACAGGACATTGTTAGTACCTTCCAAAGAAATAAAACCTCTCATTTGAATTCTTCCAGCTCTCCAAGTATCTTAGGAAGGATAATAAAAATATGAAAGTGCATACAGAGACATCATGTTCTACTAGAGAAGAGAAAAAACGCAAGTGTGAAGGCATACACCCTCTAGCAAGCCTGAGCACAAGGAAGCAAGGGTGCAAGGTATTTTCACAGTGAAAGTTTTTAGGGGAAAACCATGAGATGCAACGAGCACCTCACAGAGCCAGGGAGTCAGCATAATAAAATGTGAATACCATTGTCAACCAACGATGTCCTTCACAATAAGTAGTAGACAAAAGGATGTATTTGCTTCTCTAAATGAGGGACAACTAGGACCGTGTTGCTGTGTTAATGCAGTGTTACTACTCACAGACATACAGAGTGCTACCTCATACGGAATGAGACACAAGTTAGCAGCAACTATATTCATGCAGTGGAGGCTGACGGTTAGAGGACAACACCAAGTTTAAAGATACGAAATACAAAGATTAAAAGATATGATACCCTCAAGAAAAAGAATGGTGAGAATCTAATCCCTAAAACACATTTTTGCGGGTGGAAGACCTAACAAGTATCCAAAGCATCCTTTTAAGATACACTGCTGAAGGAAAGGAGACTTGGACAATGGCAGTGTGGTTGTGACGTCCATCCATATATCCCATGGATTGATCGAAAACAGCCTGTAAATTTGAGTTCAGCAGTCTTCAGCAAACCAGATTTCAAAATGTTTTGTGGAAAATCCATCCTTATGAAAAGCAGAGGGGAGACTAATGCTGCATGCTGGGAAGAGAGTGCAAGAGGACCAAGTATAGGAGTTCAGAACCATCCGTGGCCCACATTGCAGGGAGGAACCTGCACACTGTACAGTAGGAATGGGTTGTGTATAAAAAAAAAATAAAATAAAATAAAAATAAACAGAGGGAAAGAGCAGAGGGAGGGAGGGGACCTGTGCCACCACTGGGAAGAACTGAGGAAAAAAAGATGAGAAGCCACATACAACCCATCTTCACTTGTTACCCACAGAATAATTTGTATTTTTTAAGTGATACACATTAGTACACCCTTCTTCTGATACATATTCTCTACTTGCATTACCATTCTGAGATCAGAGAGCTTACAATTTGTTTTTTCAAGTTTTCTTTAGAGGACAATCTACTGCGCCGCTACATGTAAAGAGTGAAGATGAGCTTTCTTTATCATGCTGCATAACACACATTGATGCTGAACAATTATAAACCATTTTATCTGGAAAGCTTAGAGTTATGACAATTCACTTTTTACTTCAATTTAAAAGAAAAACATAGACCCCAATTACAGTATTTAGATACTAATAGGTGACTAAATGCTAATGATAGTGAGAAATGCTGATCAGCAACTTGAATAGCCCTCCAGTTCTGGCAGGGGAAGGTTGGTATGTGCAGTGTGTTTTCATAAGGAAACAAGTGCCCTTTTGTTGGACATACTGCAAACCATAAGGTACTCAAGGGACTAATTCAACTTGCACACAAACCTTTTTGTACAGAGATCAAAATCATAATCTACTTCCCTCAGCTTCCTTTGTGGTAAAGTAATTAATTAGTCTCTTTAGATCATTCACTTTCATAATTCAGGCCAAGATGAGGAATGCTGGACACTGAAGAGTTAAGGCAAATAATAGCATCATCTCACTCTGTATGCCCTCCTTTTGCTCTAGCACATAAAATGGTAGATTATTGATTTTTTCTACCCAGTTGTGGAACACACACATACACTCACTGTCAGAGCAGAGCACAGATAAGAGCAAACAACATACTGTTAACAGAGTAGGTCCTTTTGGGCCAAATTCTCACCCTTCTTCTGACTTATTGAATCCCCTCTGCCTATCATCACACCTCACCAAGGACTGAGCATAATATAAAGTCTAGGTTATCATGCCTGTGAGTGTGAATTATATTATGTACCACAGAAATACCATTAAAGTGGAAAACAAATCCCAAAACAAAGAGATACACCTCAAGAGATACGTTCTAGAGAAGAATTTAACGTAATCTCCAGTACCCCACAAACCCTACTAAATAATTTAGTGACAGGAGAGGGGAAGGTTAAAAAAAAATAGTTTAAAAAAAATCACTCAGGAAATCACAAACCTGAAACTTAACCTCTGAAGCTGGAAAGATTCCAAAAACACTGATTACAAACCAAACAATTGAACAACTGTATATACACAGCCTAACCAGAAACAGCACAGATTGGGAAGAGGAGATCACCATCTTAAAATACAGCTGACAAAAGAAAATATTTCCTTGGGTTTGAGAAGGATCTTACTATTATAGTATAAAATGAAACGAGCAAAACTAAAGCTGATTATTAATGCGAAAGTCACTTTGCTTATCTGAGTTTAGAACTGAATAAAATCCAAAGCCAAATACACTCAAACATAAGTAAGAAGAAAGTTATCAGCAGAAGATCAGTGGTATTTGGCCTCATTTTCCTTGCTGCACCTATAACATACACCTGGAAAAATTCAATGGATGGATATATGCTTTGTGTCAGGAAATCGATGCAACAGTGATCAAATGTAAACAGGCACTGAAACAACTACACATATTCCTTTTAACACAGCTGAAAAACAAAGTTGAACTGTACCTGAATACCCACACAAAACTAAACATGCCTTTAAAGAAATACAAGGCTTGCAATTTTAACAAATAGAGACTGCATTACCCAGTCATAAACAGCTTTCTTCTCGGACATGAGGCTATGTGTTCAGACTTTCCCCCAGTGCTGAACCATGAACTGACTCTGTTCCTTTCTGGCAGAGATAGCCTAGACTGAGATCAAGATAATCTGATCAGCCTTGCCCATAATGCATCTACTGCTAGATCTCAATCTTCCATTTGTCTGTCCCTAAGGCAAGTGAGTGAATCAAACAAGCCATCTGGGCAGGTGATATAAATTGA